ATGAGCCTATAATATTAAAAGAGACAATAACTTTTATGCTTAAATATTTTTTAAGATTGCATCCCTTGCTAAAGTATTGTAATTTATGTCTATATTATTCAGCTGCATTCCTTATAAGCACATTTGTATTATTCTGATGTATTTCAGTAATTTCCATTTTATTTCAATCACTTTTTGAGAATAACACCACATCAGGGAGTGAATATTTTTGCACTGGCCCCATGCCCAATGTATTTTAGATGCAAAAGGTCTTTGTCAAAGCAGTTCACAAAATTTTAAGTCATCCATTTTTTTTTTATTAATGATTATTTAATATTAAAATAAATATATTCCATATTTACTAAAAACACACATTTGTGGCAATTCTTAATCTGAAAAGTATAAATATAATTACTATTCTAAATTTCATGAAAATTTTTCAATAAAAATTTTCTCATGGTTGAACAATGATATATGACAGAAATTTTCATCTGTTTTGCTTTATCTGTCTCATAGAACACTACAAAAGTTTCTTAAATCATGTGTACCTACTACGATGCAATCTCAAAGATTGCAATTACAGTAACGCCCTTAAAATTTGTTCACAGACACCAATATTGTTTAGTTTAATGATGATGTACGAATTAAAAGTAATTTGATATGATGAAGGTGTCATAAAATGCAATTGGCAAAGATGGCTTGAACCTCGTGAAAAATCTCACATTACTAACTCAATGGGAGCACACCAAAACGACTTCATTCTATTGAAAGAGACTTTTAAAGATTACCCATAAGAGAAAATGGAAAAACCTCACTGTGGATAGGACCAGGATAAAAAATTTTAAAAAATATATTTATAAAACTCTTATAATATTATGATTAAAATTTACCTCATAATTATGTAAAATCAGTTATCAAACTATTTTTCTTCTTAAAGGAAACTCAAATTAATAGAGATACAAAGTTTAAATACATGTTGAGGAAGGCAGTCTTCAGGAGAAAATAAGGGATCATGAATGAACAAATCAATGGCTATTGGAAAGTTGGGAAAATATAAGTGATTACAAGCAACCAAGCACTTGTAATTGTTAGGATAATGTAATTACTGATTACAATTATAATATTTATCCTAAGGAATAATTTAAAATTAGTATAATAATTTAGTTGTAATTAAAACCAATATTGAATTCCAATTATAAGTAATGAAGCAATAATTAACGATTGTAATTAATAGTGATAAACAATCACAAGCAATTCTGATTCCATTTAACCATGATTACAATTGCTATTTTAATTTTAAGTAATCACATTACATCCAATATTGATTTCAAAGTTTACTCGAATTGCATTTTACCTTCCATACTATACACAGCAAAGTTGGGCACTGATTACAAAATTCCATTGCAACTTTGATTACAAGTAATAACTAATAGTACTCAGTGACTTGTAAACTAGATGACACAAACATTTCGAATTAGCTAATTCTATTGAAAAAGTTATTACAATTAATTATGATCAATGATTACAATTACAAGAAACCATAACTGCTAGTAACCATAACCAACAATTAAAATAACACTAGTTATTTGCCATTTTGCTTATTTAAATTACTAATACTCTTGTCGGAAACATTTACTCCGATAAAAACTGTATTTTTGCTATCGTATAAAAAATACAAATGAAAATATTTTTAATATAGAAATGACAAGTAATCAATGCAATTGTATGATCATATAGTTTAATGTTATCGCTGATCTTGACAACTTGTCAACAAGATTAAAAACTATAATTTAAAATCATAACAAGCAATTTATTAAAAGCATTCTTTCTTAACTTAGGCACATTTCATTTAGTCAAACAAAAACGATACGGAACAAAATCAAAAGAAAAATGTTTTTAAAAAAAGAATTTATATTAATTATACAAATAAATGTTTTTTTAGTTATGTATGTAGATGAGATTTTTAAGCTAAAATATAAAATTTGAAGTAAACTAATGAACAGTTTCCAAGATATTAAATTTTTAGATTAAGCTTTTTTATCTCCTGAACTAATAAACTGATTTACTTTCAATTTTGCATTACAAAAATTCACTTAGATAAACTTGTTTATAATGTAATTATCACTGCATTTTATACAATTTTTCAGCTAAAATTTTCTTTTATTTCATTTACTAGCATCCCAGCTCATTCAATATTAATAATTGATGATAGAACATTTTAAATGACATGTTTAATAGATTTTATCCCTCATACAAATTTGTATCTACATTAATGACAAACACTGTTATACCGAATCAAACATTGTAATTCTGTGTATTTTGTTATTTTTACACTTATTTTATCATTATACAACAAACAAAATTGGTTGTCTCCGTCGATCTATACATAAAAAAAATAACTAAAATTCTCCAAAGTAAGCTGTCATGTAAAATGGTTCCCTAAAATTAAAAGAAACGGAATTTACTAATATAAGAAATTTCAGACTTGGAAGATAAGAATAAAACTCATAAGAAGAGAAGCAACAAAAAAAAAGCATATTGCAAAAAAAAAATTAAACCCAAAACTGTTGAAATTTACATTCACGTACCTAACTGCCTTCATAAATAAAAAGGAGTCATGGCGTATAGACTTATATAATCAATAAAATGTGATGAAGAGATAAAGGCATTATTGGGGCAGGTTAAGATTATTATTTATCTTAATTTTTCCCACAGAAGAACCTAAATTTCAAAACGAGGAGACATAACTGAACTTTATGCTTGGCCCTTACTGGACAAAAGTTTTAATTAACTAAAAACTGTTTTTCGATTTAAATGCCTTCGTTTATCCTTCCATTTGAAATAAATAAAATTTATTAAAGTATCTAGTGAATGTCCTTATTGAATCTTTTGAATTACACTACTAGAAAATTTACGGTCGTGATTTCTCAAAAAGCAGGCTTCAGAAAAATCCTGCTGTTTAAAAGTAAATAAACATTAGAATTCCATAAAAAAACAATTGCAAACCCTATGCATAAACTACCAATTCCTCAGAAAAGTAAACATGGAATAATAATTTAGCTTTATCGTTTACAGAAGGAACCTGACATTACAAAACCCAAGCAACTTCATCTTTTACAGAACAACTAAATAAGTAAATGCCTTTTCAATATTTAAACTGTCTTGCATTTTACAGATATGCAATAATATCAATGGCAGAATTCTGAATGTTATGTAATGCTACTAAGCAAGAAGCACAATGTCATATTTGCACTTAGTTTTAAGATTCAAGGAAATTTCTAACTTAACTCCAAGTGAATTGCTCTCTGAAGTCTACAATTACGAGTAAAGAAGACCCTTTGGCACCCTTTAAGCAGTTTCATGCAATCACTGCTTATAAGTTGGACGCAAAAAAACATGAAACAGAAAAGTAAGACTTAAGTTTTAGGCTTATGATTGCCACACAAATTAAAAAATCATTCACAGTTTAACTCTTCCATATTAATTCAGTAATCAGTAGCCGATACGCAAAAATCTCAAACTAGGTAATCAGTAATGTAGACACAATCTATTATTCCTCATAAAAAGCTTCTTTTTTTTCTTAATGCATTTAATTTTCATAGAAAGCTATAAAAAACAAAAAATTTCTTCAGAGATAAAAAGAAAACTATAAATGCCTTTTTATTGCATACATTCACACAATAACAATAACGTAAGTATTACAAAGTACAGTTTTAAGAATTATAAAAATTTATTTCATACATAGAATTACAAAATCTATATATGTAAACTACATAACATGTTCTATAACAATATATTTTCTCTGAGGGTAAAAACAGTATTAATAACTAAAAATTTTTATTTCTCATTAGGACCATCTCTTACAGTCCAGGGAAGAAAACTTCCAGGAATATACCACAATATTTTTGCACCCAAGCTCTGATGATGTTTATTAGTATGAAGAGATAAAAATTATTAAAAAAAATTTCTTTACATCACATTCGTCATTTTATTTCCCAATTGGAATAACTTTTATTGCTCATTAGGACCATCTGACTCTTTCAATTCAGTTAAGAAAGCTTCCAGAATATACAGCAATATTTTTGTACCCAAGCTCTAAGGATGTTTATTAGCATAAAGAGATAAAAATAATTAAAACAATTTCTTTACATCACATTTGATATTTTATTTCTCAATAGGACCACCTCTTTCAATCCAGTCAAGAAAACTTCCAGAATATACAGCAATATTTTTGTACCCAAGCTCATTCAATGTTGCATAAGCTGTATTGGTTCTTTTACCCGATTTGCAAGTAAGCACGAAATTGGATGTGGAGTTTGGTTTCGTAACGCCATACTTCGTTTGAAATGCAGAATCATTCATTTTAAAAGCTTCCATAATTTGTCCCAAAGGAATATTAACCGAATTGGGGATCTTACCTTCTTCTTTAAGTTCGACAGGTTCACGAACATCAACTAGTAACAACTGTTTTTTCAGCACTTTTTCTTTCACAAAATCAAACTGAACTATAGGAATTGATTTTACATCACAAAAATTTCTTGGTAGAAAGGTAGAATACTTCACAGTTTGTCGTGAGAGCGATTTGACAAATCTGAACATTGCAACAAGTAAGTAAAATCACAGTAACTTGATAATTATTAGAATGATTATTGATTGTGATTGGATACTTAAGTGAATTGGCTAATTAAGCGAATTGAAGCTAAAAATTTTCGAAGTAGTAATTAAAAGCTGAGATAAAAAATAATTTTAAAAAAATTGTTAACATCACATTTGATAAATGATTAACTTTACGCTTGGATTTAAACTGCATGATGTAAACTTCTGAAAACATAATATGATGTAAACTTCTGAAACATTGGCCATTACGAATCACCGAGTAAAATTAATAAATAAAATATAAAAAGTTTCTGATTCATTTAAATCAAAGCTTTTTTGTTTTTAATTAAGAAAATAATATTTATATGAAAAACTTGTCGCCTCTTTTTTCATTAAATTTTTTTATTTGAATCATAACCATAACTGTAAACAGCGTTTGCACGTTTGTTTATTTGTGTTTTTTGTGTATATGCGTATATGAGAATTTTCGAGTTTTGAAAAACATATTCCTTTCCTTTGCTATAAGATTGAAAATGAAATTTTCTGACGAATTTTTATTTAAAAATGTTACTTTGAAAAAATTCCGTCAATTCCCTGCTATTTCTATTAAAGAAAGTCTTTTGATTAACGATGGAAGCAATTCAATTGTAAAAGTATGTCTTTACTTTGATGTTTACAATTACCTTTCTGTATGAAATTCTTGTTGCACCTCACTTACATTTGTATTTAAAAGTATCTTAAATTGCTCATTATTTTATTTCTCTTTTAATTTGTTTCTTTATTATTTTGATTGTTATTTTCTAAGAATATTTTGTTTCTCTTTTACTTTACTTTGCTTTCATATTAAGACTTATTATTTTTTAAGAACAAATATGTCATGAAATTAAGCTATTAATCAACAATATAATGTATCATAAATGAGAGATGTGCATCCGATTTGATACTAGACTTAAATTGAATTTGATTCTGTATGGATACCACTCTTCAGTCCTGGAGACTGAAATCAGTCTTGAGATAAGATCAGTAGACTAAATTTCATCAATTAATATCTCTTTCCCACTTATTATTTTTTTTTAATTAAATTTTCTTTTTCCTGTAAAAGTAAGATATTTTCTGTTAAAAATAAGTATTATATTTTAATGAAGACTCATTTTTTTCATAATTATTGCCAAATGATTAAGTACTATTGTCACACTGCATTAGAAATTCATGAATAAGATAGAAAATTTAGCACCTGCTTGCTTAAGTGAAATTTGTATTAATGTTGTGTCTAAATTTGTTTGAGTTTTCATTTCCCCTCAACGTTTTGAAATGCTGACCACAGTTAAATTAAGATTTACTTTTAAATTTATAGAGATAGGACAAATATAATTAATGATGAACCGAAAAATAAGTTGAGAGGAATAGATTCATGCAAAAAAAATAGCACGTAGTTTATTATTTAGTAATGTTAAAAGCTGTCAAGGTTGGCCGTTATTTTTATCTTGTTTGCTGTCAAAATAAACAAATAAAAAAATTTTAGAAATTGTAAATTCCTAGTTGATAATGATATATGAGAAAATGATTATGATATATCAGCCTTTATCATGCAAAGGTACATCTTGGAGCAAATGATTATGGAAAATTCTGGTACACAGCACTAGACCCAGTTAATTGGTGTTAATTAGAGTAGCACCCATGTGTATCTTGCAATTGATTCAATCTGCTTCTCCGCCATAATTATGATACTATCTTTAAGCACGAAAATCGCTGCCTGTTCTGTTAAATTGTTTATTTGATATTTTTACTTAATTTTATAATCAGCAAAGAGAAAAGGGGCTATTACTGTATATGTTATGTTCTGCCCCCATTGATGATTTGAGGACTGCCCAAATTCAGATCTATGAGTAACTGACTTTTCTAGGAAGCAAACGTGACTCATACACATTATAGACCCTTGGCTGACTTCTGGTTGTTACAGCAGTGCTTTACTTTATATTGTTTATGAGTCTGCACTTCTACTTGAATCGCCTTGGAAGCCGAGTTTGCTATGCTTTTTATTTAGATACTAGTGTGTTTAAATCAAACTTGGTGACAGTGGTGGTAATCTTTTTAAATTAAAGTTTTATTTTAGAAGGAAATAAACCAATTACCTTAGTGCACGTTACCATAATAACTTTATAATCACAGTCTTTAATTTTATTTATGTTTTGTTAGGCATTTGTCAATTTTTATATGGCCTTACATATCAAATTGAAATAATATTTACATTTCTCTTGTAAAAGATGAAAAAAGGAAAAAACCTTAAAATAAAAATGTGCTTAAAATTTTAATGCTATATATTATAGCTACCTCAAATTTTGGATGCAGTTGCTTTTCACATCTCCTCAAAGATTTTACAAAATGCACCTAATTTGTAATCAAGTGACACATTACCAATGATTTCCATAAATCGCCTAAATGGTATTTTTCTCAGTGATTCACAAACAGTACCTGTGATGTAATTCCATAAGCATAAATCATGTGATGTAATGTTCAGGGATCTTAATGGTCATGTTCGTCTTTAAACTCAAGCCACTGTTTTTTATGATTGACTAAGACATAAAAACTTGGATTTAAAAATTACATATGTGGAGCGTGAAACACAACTGATTTTGTGAAACTATAAAATGTGTGAAACAAACTTGACTGTAGAATAGATATTTTCTGCTCATTTTTCAGAAACGTTGAGCATTATTTGCATTTATTACATATTATAATGTGCGTAATATTTTTGAAAATGTAAACATATTTAAAATTTAGTTATTCAACTGTGATAAACTTTCATTATGATTCATTAATGTATTCTTATATTATATATTCTTATATACAATGTAAATTATTAATTTAATATTTTGTTATTCATCATATATGCCATATTATCCTTCACAGATACAAGATCAAAAGTTATTACACTCTTGGAATTTAGAACACCCTCACTTTTTTTCATCTGCTGCTGTATATTGTTCTGAAGATGATTCTTTATATTGTATAGTTAATAATAATGTAAGTCTGTTTGAAATGAAGTTATTTAATTTAAGTAATATGTATAAAATGATGCATGATTATCATACATTTAAAAACATTTTTTTTTTTGTATATTTTAGCTTTAATTTTTTCTACTTCTTTAACTTTAATTTTATGAAGCTTTTCTAAAGAGGTATGCAGTTTTAGATTTGGAAACTATCTCTTATGAAAATTATGTTGATTAATTCAGTGTTTTCATCATAGAAAAAAAATGGGTGAGAATTTCTCACCCTTTCTAGAAAGTTAAGTGAGATTTCTAAAAACTGAAAAAATACAAATAGACTTGAAAATAAAATTTCTTTCATTATAATACATTTTTAACGTCTTCTATTTTTTTAAAGCATTGAATATTCTTGCTGCATCATCATAGAAGATTTTGCCTTTACTAGGTATTTGTCTATCTTACATTAGTGCATAAAAAATTTGAACGTCTTACATGAAAAAACCTTACCTGCGGTAAACACGTGGTTGCAGAGAAATGTGTTCTGAAAGGTGTTCCGTGGTTCGGAGAGGTTGTGTTCTGTTGCTCGAAAAAGTTCTGAACAATACTGGTAAATAGGGAATCTAGCTAACGGGGCAAATGTTGAAAATAATGAAAGATCCAGGAAGAAAAGTGAAATGGATTTTATTCTAATTGGCGTAATTCGAAGCTTTTTCCAAAATGCGAGAAATTCGCGAATTTTGAAATTGATTTATAGAATGCGCGAATTTCTCGCGGTAATCATTTTTTAATGCGAGAAAAGAAAAAAATATGCGAGATTCTCGCGTTCTCGCGCTGTAGTGAAAACACTGCT